TTTGCTGCCAGTCCTACGGATTTGGTCAAAGTAAGTAGCTTACATTTTTCAGAACTCCAATATAGGCAGCTGTTATTCCTTCCTAATGCTCCTACTTGACGACTTGGATTTAGGTACAAATGCAAATGGAAGGGCTGCGTAAGCTTCAGAATTTGCCGCTCCGATACGCAGGAGCTTTGGATTGTTTTGTATCGCTTTATAGGACACAAGGTAAGGCTTTGTTGAGAAAGAATCGTGGATTTTTTCCTTATCTTGGTTTTCATCCTCATTTGCAGGCTTTTTTGGTCTTTGGATAGGATGGATTCCAAACTGTCAGCGGGCTGCACTACTCAATATGGCAGATATCGCCACTTACGACTTTGTTAAGCATAGACTCATTAGAGAGTTTAGTTTCCGAGTAGGTTCCTACATTTTCTCTTGTTCAGTATTTTTACACAATATTGATTCGTCTTCCTTTCTATATGAGATAATAGTTTAGAGGGATACAACCTATTGCTATTCAAGTCTTCCGTAACCAGCTTTTAGTTTAGAAGGAAGATATAATTTAAAACTTTTTTTGTTCAAACTGTTCAGGATAATTGGGTCACTCATGCTGTCTCCAGTGCCTGCGCAGGCTTATCAGCTGCCATAGTTTCACTTCCGTCGGATGTTGTTAAAACAAGAATGATGGACCAGATAAGACATGAACTAGATGCAAAAATGTGGGTTTTTTTTTTAATAAGCCCTTACCTATCATACTCATATTCATCTTTATTTTTTTTCTTTTGGGCCTTTTTGAAAGCTCTCGATGACAATATCTGGGCATATGATTATCGAAGTGCGAAAAATGCTATAGGCTCTTTTAAAGATATATTTCAGAGCTCACACGAAAAGCATCCACGTTCACCTTTACAACGGTTGTATAGACTGCTTCGTAAAGATAGTGCGCTACGAGGGATTCTTCTCACTTTACAGGGGATTTATCCCCAGTTATATCCGAATGGCACCTTGGTCACTGACGTTTTGGGTCGCTTATGAAGAAATCCGCAAGTTTGTTGGTGCCCCTAGTTTCTGAGTTATCTATTCTTTTTCTGTTTTCTAGTCTTCAGTTAGATTTGCTAGTGAATTAACACCTACCTCAGGTCACCACTATTTACGGGTAGTTGAGGTATTGAGTGCTCTTTTATAAGCTTAATTTTGCTAGTCAGTAATCTGTTGTTACTTGTCAATTGTTCTTCCTTCTCAACAATTTAATGTGACCTCTCATGCCATTTTGTGTCAGCTTATCACCTCTACCTCATCATCACCAGTCTAGTCCTATTTTGATTTGTTTTTTCCAATTTTTTTCTAATTATTACTTTGTTCTCTCTTGCATGTTGTTTTTATAGAGCTTCGAGTCTGTATATATCGGGTATTTTGCCTTTATTGGCACCTCTTTCCATCCAAATCTAGCATAGATAAATGAATAGCATTTTTGTGCCAAGTTGAAACGTTTGCTTGAATGTTTCAAAGAAGCAGTTCTTAATGTATGTTGTCAAGTTTTACTTAGAGGATTTAGCTCTTAGACTCGTTTAGTGAGGTTGTTAATAATTTAATAATAGAGATTCTTTATTTCTGATTCTCTATCCTGACCTGATCGCTCATTTCTGCATGCAAAGGTAGTCATTTTATCTATGCAAAGAAGAAGCTTGTGGTATGTTGTCTTAGGAAGTTATAAAGTTTTTAAAAATAATTTGTTTGGTTTTCTTAAACGCGTCTCCAAGTTCGCAAAGTATCACCAAATATAATAATCCACTCTCGCACTGTTGTTTCATGTGATAGAAAGGATCCTATGAAGTTACGACAAGAACCAGTGTAGGGGGTAATAGACTGTGTGGTTTCTGTGTGACCCTGTAAATTTCTAGACCCATGATTTTGTTTAGAGTGCAAAGTCAATATCTGCTTAATCCGATTTTTGCTGGTAACGTTCAAGTTAAGGTTTGCGAATGAACAGTGTGGTATATGGGCAATAATGTTTTCTCACAAAAGCAAGGCTCAATTCTTATCAACCAAATTCTTTTTGCTCTTGTATCGAAGTACACTTCCTATCTTGTTTACTGCGTTCGTTGTTTATCGCTTAGACGAACAATTGCGAAGGTTACCTCCAGCAAGTAGTCAACGATTATCGTTTCATTGATTTTTTTTTATCAGCTGTAATTCCTCCTCATCAGTGCCATCTCCTATTTAGCATATCTTCCATATTCTAAGTTCTTTTTCTTATTTTTACTAGTTCTCTGTTTTTTCAACTATGCTAATTATTCTATGTTAAATATATATTGCTTTTATTTCAAAATGTGTACTTGGGAGGAGGAGAGAGAGGATGAAAGCTTTGGGTGAAGGCTGCAGCCCTTCTCATCAAATGAGTTATGTATCAAAGGAGATAGAGTGACCTGGTTTGTCTGCTTAGTTCAGCGTTTAATCGACGTTATTCTTTTGCGCCTTTTTATAAACCAGATGCGGTAGTGAAAATTCTCCTCTCAACTGTGTTATATCCAATTTCCATTCGCTCATTGTCATATATTGACAGAGTATGGTGCTGAATGGATCTTTTCAGAATCTCTGGGCTTGCGCCTTATGTTGCTGGGGTGTCGCGCTTGCCAAGCCGTGCGTCATGCTTCTACTTCGCAATATTATGATGCCGTTGTGGTTGGAGGAGGAATGGTGGGCAATGCAATAGCATGTGCTTTGGGTTAGCTTTATT